TTTTGGGTGAGCCCAAGCTCACAGAACCATCCAGAGCAGAGCAACCACCATAAAAACGAGGCTCCTCAGTCCAAAGCTGCCCCTCCCCAGACTCACCCCCATACATTGCCTTTGCTTCTTTCCTAACATTTGCACCATGCTGCGCTGTTGGTGTGTGTGTCACATAAGATCTCGACTTCCGCTGTGAGAATAAAACTCTCTGAACGCTAACACCTGGTCTGTCTTGTATTTCTGTCAACCAGAGATGCAGGATGCACATCTCGACATTCAACAATTATTTTTTAAATGAATAGAGTGGGGAGGTGGGCTGGAGAGACAGTTCGGTGGTCCAGAGTATCTGGTGTTCTTCCACAGAACTGGACTTCAGTTCCCAGAATTAAAACTGGGCAACTCGTTACCACATAGAACTCCATCTCCAGGATGACACTCACAAGGGCATACCCTCTCACACATGCAGAGTTAAAACTAAAATACCCTTTTTAAAATTGAATCAAAGGTGAAGCATGAAGACACATGCCTATAATCTCAGTGTTTGGGAGGTAAAAGCAGAAGTACCAGGGATTCAAGACCATCCTTGGTTACATGACAATTTACAGGCTAGCCTGGGCTATATGAGAGCATATTACCAAAACATTTCAAATTTTTTTTAAAAATGAAAGAAAGGGAAGGGCTGGGGATTGAACTCAGCACGGAACACATGCTTAACGTGTTCAATGAATGGCAATTGCCAAAAACTTTTATAACCGTTTAAAAGGTTTATTGTTTTCCTTTGATGTGCATGGCTATTGCAACCATGTATATAAAGGCTCCATCTTCATTCTTGGAGCCCAGAAATCCTTGAAAGGGGTGTCAGAGCCCCTGGAAGTGGAGGCGCATGCTGGGAATGGAACCCGGGTTCACTGAGCTATCTCTCCAATCCCCATTTTTTAAAAAATTAAAGAAGTTATGAGCGAATAGCTTAATGGATAATGTCAAACAAGCATGTGGACTGGAGATCTGACCGCCAGAAAGCATGCAAAGGCTGGGCAGCCATGCAGCCCCTAGAATCCCAGTTCTGGGGAAGCAGAGACAGGAGATTCCCAGGGCAAGCTGCCCAGTGAGAGAAGCCAGAGTTAGTGAGCTCCAAGGGTTAGCAAGAAGCCCTGCTTCAATAGATGAAGTGGAGCAAGATCAAGGAAGAGACCTCACATCAACTTTGAGCCTCCAAAAGCCTGCGAATGCACATGAATGTGCAACGGCACACACACACACACACACACACACACAAACACACACACACACACACACAGAGGCATTCATGGAAAACTAAAAGAGAAAGTCAGTTACAAGAATGAAGGGTGTGCTTACCTAACAAGTGGCTTCATTCTCCTTGTCTTAAAGGTGACCACCACTGGATTGAAGCATGGCTGAGCCATTAGTGCTAGTAATATGTCCTTGAACCCATTTCCTGCCCAGTGAGGCATTTGTACATGGGGGAGGGGATAGCTAAAACACAATACTCACAAGAAACAACTAACTAAGATACCAAGGGAGCATCTTTAATTTCTCTGGACTGATTTCGTTTTTTTCCAAGAAGAAAAATAAAATGATCTGTGAGTTAGACCTGGATTGTTCTCTGTGTTATTTACTTGAGCCATTAACTGAGAGTCAAGCTAGGGGCTTCACTTAAGAGAGGTTTGTTGTTGTTGTTGTTGTTTGTTTGTTTTGTTTTTTAATAATGGAAGTAGAGTAGAAAATGCTCTGGGTTAATGCTGGAACACAAAGGCCTACTGCAGCTAAGGTCAAGCAGCTTAACTCCAGAGTCTACAGAGCATCATTTGGCTGAAGGACATGTGCAAAGTCATCAGAGCAAATCTGGCCCTGAGTGTGGTTGGCTCATCACTACCAAGCAATCAGGATAATAATAATAATAATAATAATAATAATAATAACTTCAATCAAAAGCTACTAAAATATCTTGAGCACCTGCAAGGTTCAGGCAGTAAGTCAGCTAGGTTAACTACATTAAATCCAGAAAGGTTGAATTCAAGCCATCTTCGCAGAAATCCTACTGACCAGGTACCACCATAATCCACATTTTACATGTGAAAGAGCCCAGACAGAAAGCAACTGAGTAATTTTTCTGAGGTTGCCCCACAAAGAGTCAGCAGTGATACTTCAAACCCAAGTCACTTGGTCCTGACATCCATTATGTCAATGCAATCAGAATCTGTGCAAATGCTGGCAAGAGGGTGTCATGGCACAAAGACGGGAGTGGAGTTGTTTAGAGAGTGCTTGTACTATTGCTTTGCCTGTGTTTTCTCAGTCCTCGCCTCAGAAGTGCCATTAACCCTACTTATTTCTTGGGAAAACTGAGTAACAGGATTTGGAACTTGCCTAAGGTCATTGACTGATAACATAGCTAGCTGCCAAACTCTCATGGTCAAACTCCAATGCTCAAGTTATTATCCACTCTAGCATGACCCCTTGTGGAGAGAAGTCTGCACAGGGCATGGCTTCATTGCCACAGCCCATGATTAAGAAAAAGAGCAGGATAGTACAGAAGCATGAACTTTTTCAAAGACTTCAAAGTGAGACCGTCCTGCCATCATGCCCTGCTTGGCACTTACTATCTCTGTGGACTTAGATAGGGCTCTCTGAATTGCTTTCTATGTGTGGCTAACTCCACAGTGACTCTGAGACCCTCATCACCCTCTCCTTGATCCCCATAGATTCATGTTTTCTTGACCACACAGCAAGTCTCCTAAGTACCAAGCAGAAATCTCTGCTCAGAGTCTATGTGTCCTTCTCAGTTTGAGTCATAGATCTTCTTGATAAACATAGACGGCAAAATTGCAACAGCGTGAGCTCTGCAGATCATCACCACATTCCCTCGGCTCGTGCCCATCATTTGTCCTGCGAGAAGCTAAAGCTGCCACAATACTGCAGTTCTGCTAATGGGGTTGCTAGGCCACTGTGGTGCCAGAGTGACTGATGGGCATTAAACCATTATTGACATTGCCAGAATAAATAGGGACTCGGGTTTCAGCTGGGAAGAGCACAAAACAAGATGATGACATAGAAATGCTTAAGTCAGTTAGGGATGGATTGGTTTCAGTTGGAAATTCTGCTCTTCAGTTTGCCCTTTTAAAAATCTACTATTCTGGGTTGGAGAGATGATGGTTCAGCGGTTAAGAGCACTGGCTGCTCTTCCAGAGGAGCCAGGTTCATATTCCCAGTACCCACATGGGAACTCAAAACTGTTTGCAATTCCAGTTCCAGGGGATCCAACACCCTCACACAGACACACATGCAGGCAAAACACCAACACACAAATAAAAGTAAAAATAAATAAACTATTTAAAATCTACTCTTCAACATTTAAGGTTGGGTGGTGTGTATGTGCCTGTGTAGGGACACACACACACTCATTACTAAAAATTCTACTGGCATTTAAAAGCTTAATGACACACCAGCTTCTCAAAGCATTGCTTCTGTTTGTATACACTCAGTCGCCTTTGATTTTCTTGGTCATGCCTGATGGAATTTTAAACGGCATTATAGCTAAGCATAAATGTATAACTCAAGTTTCAATGGCCCTGAGACAATTTTTTTTGTTTGTCTAGTTTTGGAGTTTTGTTGTTTCTTTGGTGACAGTTCTTGTGTTTCTCTACATAAGCATTTTCTTACTTTTTTTTTTCCTGGATTTTGTGATAGTCTGACCAAAAAGCACAGGCTGACCTCAAGTTCAAGTCCTCCTGCTTCCACATCCTGAGTTCAGTCTCAGTTTTACTGAAGCACAATTGTATCCATTTGTTACATGTTGTCTCCAGAGGGTTTTGGTTATAGTGGTGGATTTGGTTAGTTGTGACAGAGGCCATCTGGGCTTCAAAAATGATTACTATCTCAGTCTGTTCAGAAATGTTTGCTATCTCTTCTTCCAAAGTCAAGGTCTAGAATCATACAAGATGAATCCTAGAGTTTATCTTTGAAGTTAGTAAGTCTTTTCTGTGTTCATGAAGACCTTCTTGTCTTGTGATATATAGTGTTTTGTTTTGTTTTAAGAAATGAGCTATTTTTTTTCTACAGGACTGTGTAACGGGTACCAGCATATAATAGACCAGAAATATGTACCTATTTTGCTGAATTTCTAAGTTGGGTGTCTGGACAGATGTAGAAATCTTGGGAGCCATAAATATTTTTTCTTGAATGAGAAAGTGGTTCATGTCAAATCTCAATACCTACATGTTTCTTGAGCTCTATATTTAGAGAGTAGATACGGTTTTCAGAACATTTGGCGATCAAGATAAGCCCTTGACTAACTTATGATAAATCTTTTCTATTCCACACCATTTGGGCCCATCTTCTCTATAACTTCACAAAATCCTCTCTGCCTCAAGCCCCGAGGGCTTGGATCTGACAGTGCTGGTCTGCTAGCTGACTTACAAGCTGGTCCTCTATCTTTCAGAATCCATCTGTGCTTCACACCATAGTTCTCAGCTCCCTGTGAGAACTCTGTGGGTACGCTCAAGCCCATCAGTTATCCAGAGCACGTGGGCACTCAGCCACTAACTAAGTACAGGAGAAACTGGGAGCAGATGCCACTGGATTCCGGGAAGACGCATAAAGAACAAATGATGAATGAGACCTCTGGTCTACTTCTTCCAAAATGTTATTGTTACTGTTACTTGGACAAGAATGATGATTTCATAGGAGAAGAGTCTGTCATTCAAGAAAACAAGATTTGGGGATCAAAGAAAGAGCTAAGAATCAAACAAACTTAAATAGAAAAGCAAGCTCTGATACCAGCTATGTAAGTTTGAATCAGTAAATTGGTAAATTGGTTTCCATAATACAATAACATGTTAATGGCAAAATGACTCTAAGACTATAACTTTGCTAGACATTGTGGCACATTTAAGGTGTCTAACAGTGACAGACGATATAAATGCTTATATATCCTCCTTTACTTGCATATAAGAATGTTACAAGGAAAAAGGCCTTTGGGAGTTTCTACTTACCAAGCATCCCTTTCTTGGAACTGGACAGACACATGTCTTTCTCTGCACTGGGCAGGGCAAAGCTCACCACGAATGCTTCAACCCCATCAGCCATCAAGGCCAAACCCAAGACAAAAAAGAGGGTCCACTGGAAGCGTCCATGGCCACACTCATCAATGATGGTCTCGTATTGGTGAGCCAACTGCTCCTCATCTTCCATCCTCTCAGCCATCAGGTCTGCCTGACCCCCGAGGCCATCTGCTCTGGAGGATGCCATCTTTGCCTGCTTAGACTTGACATCATCTGGATGAGGGATGCCCTGGTACTCGCCCTCATAGATCTCATCCTCCTCATCGTGGCCTTCTGTAACATCACTCTGTGCATCTTCTTCCGGGTTTGGCTCATTGCCCCGGTAGTAGCTATCACTGGAGGCGTAGCCCTCATAGTTGTCCCGATACCTGTAATCATCCATTCTTTGGTCTGGGCTTGTCTGGTAGCCTCTCAAGCTATATCTCTTGCTCCGTGGTAAATGTTTAGGCTATTCCGATAACCATCATCTATTATGTGGTTGAAATGATGAATATGTTCATATACCTTCTTTAGCCAAAGCTGCACCTTTTAAATTTGTTTCTCAAACCAACCAACTTCATACAAAGACAACGTAAACAGCCTTTTGCACTCGGTGTGTGTTCAATGTCTTTGGAAGGCGTCAAACTCTGGCCTGTTTTCCTTCTGTGACCCAGAAGCTTGTGCTGGGAGGCGCTAATGAAACATGGGTCCAGCTGCTCTCTTTGCCAAGGTGGGGGCAGTGCTTGGCAGCTCTCTGGCTATGAAGTTCGTTTGTCCTTCTGTTGAAAGTTGTGCCCTGGAGGTAGAGACAGGAAAGGAAATGGTTACAAACGGCTGAGACATGAATAAAATGAAAACATTTACTAATGCCCATACTTCATGTGAAAGGTGAGGTAGATTTTGGTTAGGCATTTGAATTCACATAAGCTAGATAGGGATTGAATCAGTGAGGCTGGCAAATGGAAACTACACACAGAGAAGTCTTTTAAGCTGTAAAAGAACCAAGTGAAGGTCAAAGGTCAGATCTTCTGCAGGAATGCAATAGGAAGTGGTCAAGGGACTTTCACTACCAGGCAACTTTATGTTATGGGTTTCCTTTGAACTTACCAAGCTTTCGGCAGTAATAGAAGTATCCTATGGATCAATTTCTATTATGTAAACACATGCTTTTCCAACTTCACTATGAAGTAACTGTATCATTTACATCTGAAAATGTAGAGCATAGAAATACCCTAGAGAGCTTTCTCCAAGGCTCAGCTTGCTTTTGAGATCAGCATTGCGGCTCAAGGGCCACTATAACCTTGTACTTGGTTCAAATGGGTAAGAATAGGAGCTGAGTCTGAGACCCAGAGCCACATCTCTCAGATTTTCTGAAGCATGACTCTGATGTATGACAGGCATGACGCCTCATTCCAAGCCTCAGTGCTCTCACTTGTATAGCAAAGACAATAGTTTAAGATTATAAACTAAGTACCAGCCTACAGATCAATATATTTCAGGCAATATTGTTTTCCTAGTTCTGGAAAACCAGGAACCAGCACTGTCTAATAACTCAGGTCTAACCACTGGTTCTCTCTGTTGACTCCAACACCTAAGAGGTAGATGCCCTGTCCAAATTGCCTTCCAGGACAGCAGTTTTCAACCTGTGGGTCACGACCCCTTTGGGGACAAATGACCCTTTCACAAAGGTAGCCTAAGACCATCAGAAAACACTGATAATAACATTATGATTCATAATGGTAGCAAAATGACAGTTAGAAAGTAGCAATGAAGAGAATGGTTTAGGGTCAACCCAACATAAAGAACTGTATTTAAGGATCACAAGCATTAGAAAGGTTGAGAATCTCGAGTCTCACAGGATTCGAGCCATCACTGAATCATGTACCCAAATGTGGACTGAAAATCAGCTACACAGTGAGAACTAGAGAAGGCATGAAAAAGGAAGGAAAGAAAGGGAAAAGGGGTAAGAGGAAAGAGTGGGGGGAGCAGGAAGGAACATTTCATCTAATGGGTAAAGCAACTGTGGCTCAGGAGGGGTTAATAACAGAAGTAAAGCTGGTTGTGCGAGGTCCACATCTCTTTACGGGGCTAACTCTTGAATGCTGTCCTGGGTGACGGACACATTAAAATGCAGAGTAACTTTGAAAACAGTCTCCAGAGCTCTAAAACTGGGACTTTTCACACAGCTCCCCAAGTAACCGAAAGGCCCCACCTCTCTGAGCAGGTCCTCCACAGGACAGGCTAGGCCCCTCCCTCAGCCCTTCTTTTCTCCAGCTGTGCCCAGGGGCCAGATTTTCTGACTGAGGTAGATATTCAGATCTCTTCCTATCAAAGCTGACAGAAACCCATTTGTTAATTCAGCCCACCTGCCAACAAATTCATAACCATCACGACTTTCTAGGCCTCCCGCCACACCTGGAACCCTCTGTCCTTTCTCGCATTCAGCAGATGTCACTTCACAATAGAAAACACACCCCTGCCCTTGCGGCAGCTGCTGGACTCCTTCCCTGCCCACAGTCCAGCTCTGGGCCCTCAGCCCCACACCTGCCACCTGGCTCTCCTCGCTTCAGCCTTGGATGGACTCTGGCTCTGGGAATCATCTAACTCCAATGATACAAGGTATTTTCTCATGGAAGGGTGATTTTAAAAAAAATGCTGGGTATCAAATGCAGGTGGCTCATTGGGAATGGAATAATGGCCTGATCTCCCAAAGACACTGAACTGCAGCGTGGAAATCAGGCCTGTAAATACCAAAACACCACTACCAACCCAGAAGACTTGTAGCAGTAATACTAAAGAAGCTAGCAAGAAATACTTAAAAGAATGACTCTCGCTCTACTCTTGCACAATTTTCACCGTCTCCAATAAACAAACTTCTCTTGGACCAGGCTGGTCTGGATCATGCCAGATTAATATTCTAAGTCAGTTTTTATTGCATGCATTTGGGAACCCTAGGAGGACAATAAATCACACATAAACAGCGGGGGAGCTTGCAGCATGCTGTCACGTGAAGAAGGTGTGCCAAGAGCCTGAGATCTGCTGGGTTATTTCTATTCTGGAGGCCTCGCCAAAATGTCACGAGCCGGGAAAGAAAGCTTCTCAATTCTGAAAGCATATGTGGGAAATACCACTTTGGGTAAAGATGCTGGGACTTTCTCTGTGGAAAGAGACGGGTCTTTGTCAAAACAAACCCCCCACTCCACTCCCCTGATCTGGCTAAAGAAAACGGCCGTGCAAGTCAAGCACAGTGAAGCAAAGGGGCCTCCCTGTTAAGCGGGGTTTTGTTTTTTTGGTTTTTGTTTTTTTTAGTATTTCTTGAAGCATCTTTCTCATTGAGAAATCCGAGTTATTTTTTTTTCCACAGAAGAACATTTTCTAGAGAACACAACATTTGCAATATTGTGGGTTAAATTGCCTCCTTCACAGAAGATAAATTGAACCCTGACCCTTAGGACCTGAGAGTGCGACCTCATTAAGAACAGAGTCCGAGACTGGAGAGGCCAGTCAGTGGGTTAGTGCTTGGTGTGCCAGCATGAGAAACTGAGTCAGATGCCCGGGAAGCACTTGGGTGGCAGGAAAAAGGAGACTTTATGGACCTGCTGGCCTCTAGCCTAGCTGAAATATAAAATGTCATGTGAGCTCCAGTCTTAGGAAGAGATCCTGTTTCAACAAAATAAGTGGAGAAAGTAAGAGAGAAACATACTGAATGAGTTTTTCTAGCCTCAGCATCTGTTCATAAGTATACGAGCAAGCACGCACGCGCGCGCGCGCGCGCGCGCGCGCGCGCGCGCACACACACACACACCCCCACCAAGTTTTACAGAAGTGCTAAAACAGGGCATTAGGGTGAGCCTAAACTAACTGTGACCTCAGGTAAAAGACAAATCTGGATGTGGAGACAGGAAGACAGATGCGCATGGAGGGAAGATGATGTGGGCTTTCAGGGACAGTGTCATCTACAAGCTACAGCAGGCTTGAGGCCACCAACATGGTGAAGCGGGCTGAGGACAGTGTCCCTCATGGCTTTCCAAAGAGCCAAGCTGCTGACTCCTTGATTTAGGTCTTCTAAGAGTCTCCGGAACTGGGACACAGCAGATCTCTTTCATCTGATCTACAAAAATCTGCAATATCTGTTACTCTGACCCTTTGAAAGAACAGTCAACAGGTTCATCAGCTACACAGCAAGGAAAAAACCACCCACAGGGGCAACCATTAGCTAAGCTCTCAAGTGATCACTTCCCATGATGCCTTGCCTATGCTCAGGGCCAAGAACGAATTGTGATTATCTGAGTCATGGATGGAGAGATGAAGGTCTGGGAGGATAAAAGGATGTGCCTATGTGAATGCAGAGAATTAGTACCAGGGACTGAGTGTGAAGCTTTCAAACACAATGTTGGGGGATGTGCAGAGAGAAATTAAACTGGAACCCAAGGAGGCAAGCCAAGGCCCCACACGCAGCTGGCAGCAAAACTAACCTTGATAGACAGTGGATCCCACTTCCACGACTGAGTTTTTCTCCCTACCCTCACCAGGCATTTCCCAGGATCTTTGGTGCGCACGGCCCTGTGTAAATGGACACAACGTAGCCCCATTCTCAAGAGGCTGATCCATTGTGAAAACATAAAATTCAAACAGCAGAGATCATCACTCGGTGGTGACACTTACACCCTGGTTAATCTTCATTGTCAACTTGACTGGATTTACGCTCTCTTGTGAGAGCTATCACTGGGATTGTCTAAGGGTGTTTCAAGGCAGATTTAACTGAGGAGGGTGGCACAACAACCATGGGCCAGAGTCCCAGACAGAATAAAACATCAGGTGCTCTGCGTCCCGAGTACAGTGGCAATGTGACCATCTGCCTCATATTCCCACCGTCATACCTTCAACGCTATGATGGATGGCACTTTCTTCCTGTTTTTGTCGGGCATTTTGTCACAGCCATGAGAAAAAAAAAACTAATACACAATTTTAATTATTATTTATGCTATCTTTGTTTATTGAGTACTTGACGTATTGCTTTGGGCCAGATCCTGGGCTAAGTTTATCTATCGTGTGTTTTACATCTTTTAGCCAGTATATGAACCCCGTGAGGCAGTCCCATGGTTATCACAATTTTCAGAGAAGAAGATTGCACATGAAGAAACCAGACAGGTGACCCAGAGAGGCATGGAGAAGTGGAATTCTACAAGGGGAATTCAGAGGAAGGAGGGCCACTGCTGGCTGAGACCTGCTGAGAAAGCATCCTAGGGGTAGGGAGACATCCAAAGGCAGAGAGGGCTCAGGGACACTTGGGCACCACAAGGAAGGCACCAGAAGCTGGAGGACAGGACCCGCAAGTGAGATTAGCTCTTGTTTTGTGGAGAGCAGTGAGAAGCCAGCTGGCCTGCAGCAGAGGATCCACAGGAAGTGAAGTGATCCACAGGAAGTGAAGGAGATTGATGGGAGTGGAAATCGAGGCCAATCTAGTGCTTTGATCAGAGGCAGGAATTTTGTATGAATGGGGCATGGGAGGAGAAAAGGGAGGATGGGTGGGATTAGGAGGGGCTGAGGGAGGTGGCTACAGTTGGGAGACAAAATGAATAAGTTGTAATTAATAACAATTAAATAAATGTTTTAAAAGACTGTGAAAATGAGTGGGGAGGGTGTTCAGTGAGACCTGGAAAGTTCTCAGTGGTGGGGGTATGAGTTCTGGCTTTAACAAAAATATGGGATGGGGGAGAATGAAACCAGGGAGAGGCATGTGCTAGAAGACATGTGTGGAATGACTAGCACATGCCCCTAGCATGGAGATGAGGA